ACGTCCTTGACATCTGCACTAGATGAAGATGAGAAGCCTGGTTCATACCCCCGTCGCGTTGTCGCCGAGAAAGTGTTCCCAGTGCCCATTTTACAAGAATGTGTGGGTCTCCAGTCTTCAGGCCTTGTACAATGTTGTTCTCGCAAAATCAGTAATTCGCTTTTGAAACATTTTCGATTTGGAAGACGCAGAACTAATTCATTGTCGTTCCAGTTAAATGTTATACTATTAAATTGACTAACGAACCAACTGAATCCACAGAGCATAGTCCTTTTTGGGAATATGATGGCCAAGCAACTGGTTCGATTTCCCGTGTTTTGTGAACCCAGAAGTTCATGTATGCATTGAATCGTGCTCGCAACTTGGCCGTATGTCGATATCACTTTTAATATTATCATCTAGTGTGCCCCTAGGTATCCCAGGAAGATTTCCTTCACACACAATTCTTCCGATTACAGAACCTAATTTGTGCCAGAAAATAAGTGTAATCGTTGGGTTTGAGGTTGTAGTATCGGTGGAAACGTCGATGTTGGTCATCTGGGTTTAACTCCGTGTGTACTTTGTAGGTGGATACGGACGTTTCGGAGATGGGGGCGGTACGTTTATCCGAAACTTTGCTATCAGCGCAAAAGAACAACATCGACGAAAGTCTAATAATGTTTTCCAGCTCATTTGTTACTCACGTAGTCAAAAGACTTACCGCAAACAAGGTTCAGAATTTAAATTTAAAATTTTCGCTCTTATATATTATTTGGGCCTTTCGAGACACACATTACCTGCCCTAGACGCAGACCGTTTACCTTATGGAAAGGAACAAGTCTTTGTATTTTTTTATCGGTCGTTTCGAACAATACAGTTTATGACTCATGAACTGTAATGTTGTAATTCTGCTAACTTGGTTCTTTGAGCAGTACAATGGTTTGTGGCAGGGCCTAAATGAAGAAACTCATTTGGTGTATGTGCTGAATTCTTTCCACTGTTTTTTTATCTCGTCTTGTTTCTGTGTAGAGCTATAGAAGTTTCTTGAGGATAGCTGTCGGATAAATCGCGTTGGAATGTCGTTTAATCGGAAAAGGCATGGTATTGAGTTCACATTTGTGGGTCGCGATTAGTAAGGATATGCCACACCTGGAAGGGAATGTCGATGAAACGCCAGCTTTAATTTACGGTTTGACTTGTCACAGAGCTTCGCAATTTGTAGAATTATCGTGGCTGTACCCATTATCCAAATTCAACGCAAGTAGCCTTGTGGTTGACACCTTTACTCGAATGAGAGCAGTACAAAGAATTTGTTCCAGAAAACCACAAAACTTGATAGAGAAAAGCCAAGCTGTTTTCATAAATAAAAAGTACAAAGACTGTGGGCCTTTTGTTTATCATTACCGGAAATAACTATGGCGCCCCGTATCTATGATGTATCTACTAGACATGTCAAGCGTTTCTTTAACTTTTCTCTTTCCTTGAGTTGATAATAATTATGTCAGTTTTTATGCATTCGCGTAAAAATAGTTCGTTAGGGGGTGTTCACATCTGTCTATCCATTCGCATGTTTTATCAACAAAATATTCCTACGGATTTTGCACTTTAAACGTTGTCATCAGAACGTGTGGTCAACATGGCTGAACCTACCATCGTTCACCATCGGATACGACTTTCTTATTAAGATACATAATTTATTTTTGATAAGGCGCAAATTTAACGAAGAACAAGGAATAATTTTATGTTGCTTGATGTTTTGAAGCCGAAACCTATCTAATTACTATTTAAGAATTTAGTACGTACCGCAAAGAAAACACAACTATTCACCATTACAGAGATCATTTAACGCTGTTTAAAGAACTAATCGCTGTTTGTACTGAGAACCAAACGAGACACAGAAATAACAAGATCGGAAAGTGCGTCCCGTACCGGAGAATATCCTCATGCGTCCGCCTTGTTCGATATTTTCCACATTGGCCACCAGATCGCCGAACTTCACTGTCCACCTCACGACTTTCCTCACCCGTCATGTTATTATCACCGTTCGTAGGGTATCCAAAAGAACGATTTGGGGGCCATGTCGAATGGCATAACCTCCACATCAAATTTAATCTAAATCCGTCCATTGGTTCTCAAGTCGAATTGGCTGGACAGTCGACCGGTCGACACGACCTTATGCTTCTTGCAAAGAACGCATACAGATGCAGACGTATTGTCTTTTAAACAGGTGGGGAATTTACATGCATTTAACAATTGGATTTAAGGTGTTAATATAAAATCATGGACGTGTAGTACATGAATTCAGCATATAGTCAGAGAACGCGAAAGTAGAGTTCAGTTGGTAGACCCAGAGATGGGATAATATTAAAAATGGATCTCAAAATGTTGCATAGGAGTGGGTGGTCTTGTTTGAACTGGATGAAGATGGGGTCCATAGGCGGGTTCTTCTATCGCGGATTACGTGATATTCTACCCGGATTCTGCCCGTTTGGAATCCGAAGTTTCATTGTCGGTTGACAAGCGCCCGCCAACGTTCCCCTCCCTTCCCCTCGTACACCTTGCCCTCTCAAATAGTCTGTTCTCTTATGGTTTTCAGAACAAATGACTATTTCGTTGTAGTTCCGATACCATAACGTTTGTTATGCAATTTCTCCGTGCTCCCTGTCGCCTCTTTCTTAGGCCTTTGGTCATAGAGTGTTATTAACTTGTAGACATTTAAATGTTTCGGAGGAGTGTTTCGCTGTCATATTCAGGACCGCAACAAGAAAACCCCTCGGTCCATGTCTTGTGTGAGAAGCCGAGGTTTACACCCAAACGAAACAACACGCAAAATTATACTTTTGTATGTTTTATAGATTCGGGATGGGAATGCAGAATATTTTGGCGTGAATGGTACCAACCATTCCCCGAACTTAGTCTGCTGTAAATTTCATCGTCTGTGCAGTTTGGTTTTTCCTGTCGTTTGCACATTTTGGAAGCATTCATTGGCTACTTTGGTTTTGCCCTGCGGTCTGGTGACTGGCGGTGCTAGATTAATGGCGGCGAAGTGACGACGCCGGCCCAACTGCAGATTCGATGTGGCGTTGACTGAGGAAAGATAGTGATAAATATAATTTTAAAGAAAGTCATTGTGGCCAGTTTGAGGTTACTGTCCCTGTATTCGCTGGAGATACTGAAGATAACCATGTAAAACCTTTGTGTGTCCGGTATCAGGCCGAGATTCTAATCCGAAAACACCAGAGTACAAAATATTTCATCGTGATTTCGGAGGGAAGCTTTCACTTGTGACGAGGGAACGGAGCGTATGAAATGCGCTGTCGTATAAGCGGAGACGTTGAGAACAGCGAAGGACAATTCGGGTTTTGTCCCCTTATTTCAATTTTGCTTGGAAGACGTTACAGAGCTTGTCTTTGTTTGTATGCGAGTAGCGAAACATCCATAGCGGTTGGCTGGTGAATCACGTGTGGTCAGTTAATTTGGCCGCGCCTCGTGAATTACTGTGGGATATCGCTAGATGCTGAAGCGCTGTGGTTCAACAACTGTGCGCAAGGAAAGGTGACAGGCAGTCTGTAGTCGGTCGTAGACGTAAATCATTTCACATGACTAACATTTGAGGTAACTGAAGTGAACCATACGTGAGGCAAATAGGTGCAGTGGCAGAGGGTGGCTTGTTAAAAAGTGTTAGTCACAGACGGATGTATTGTATTGCATTGCGTTGGGGATGGGGGTTCGGAACCCGTTGAAAGTCATAAAAAAATGTGGAGTCGGTGAAGTGACTAGTAAAGGCCTGGGCGACTGCGATTCGTATCCGAGGAGGTTGTTGAAACCTTTCTCCTGACTGTCACGACTAGAACCGATCTGACACCAACCCAGATTCCTTTACAGCTAGAATGTGAGGCTGGCCACTTACCTCTCTGTCTAATAGAGTTTTCTAAAGTTGCTAAGGAACTTCTGTTTCCAACGCCCTCTGAGCACTTTCGCGTGGTGTAGTTTAAGTGGACTGACAATAAAAATGTACCATTTTTGTCAAGAAGAACTGACACTTCGGGCAAGTAGATCTTGCTCGATTAGGCACAAGTTTATGGCGTATCATCAAGACCAGCCATTGTGCTTCACAGTGATAAAGATGGCCGACATTTCTAGTCTGTCACAATATTTGCACCTGGAATATTCAACTTGAACCATGTTGCATTTTAACAAGGACTGGACGTTTCGGTAAACCCAGAAGCAGACTGGAGGAAAATACTGAATCGCGTTATGTAATAGTTAATTAGAGTCGGCTGAAACATTTGGTTATGGTTCCAGATAATTCGTCACTTAGTTAATGCAAGACCAAGATTATTTTATCCCTCTGAAGCCGAAGAGCTTCCATATAATACTTGAATATTCAGTTCGTACCTCAAAGATGACATTTCCCACAACAAAATCAACTGGTTAATGTTGTTTACGAAAATATTCTTTGTTTGCCCGAAACCCGAAAAAATACAATGGAGAGTTATTGATTGTAGAAGCAGGTGGGGCCTGTAGTTATCATTGGAATTTTTTTTAATGCATTGGCTCTTCACTTACGTCATTGGCCGTGATGTCCTGCGACGTAGTGAACTACTTTTCCGCCGAGTGGCATTGCCCAGGGTGCGCCGAATGGTGGCGAGTTCACATTGCACCCGCAATAATGATGAAGATGAGAATATAGAGTAGTTGTTGGGATGCCACGGAGAAACCGAGGAAGCCCCGGAGGAAAACTCCGTGATGCCTAGACCACGGCCTTGCCCAACACAAGTTATAAATCCGGGAATCGAACCCGGGGCCCCAGGATTACAAGCCCAGCGTTCTGACCGCTAGACCACCGTGGCGATCTTATCATTGGAATTTAAAAGGTTGATTTTACAAGGCGATGCCATTAAGTTTGGTGTCTGATGAGGCGGCAATTCTGGTTTATTTTTCGCCCTGTCAGGCAGTTTTCTTGCTCAATTCCACAGTGTACGTCTGCTGCTCGTCTAATGTGTGCATTTTTCTTTCAGGTTTTGTTAATCTGATGGCCTGAATTCCTTGTAACACGATGCAGGATGGATTCTCCAGCCACCAGATTTGGTTCCTCGGACGACGCTCCTCCACAGCCCGTGTATTCTTCAGCTCGTTACGGCACGCCTCCACCTCCTCCGCCACATCCTCGGCGACCATACCTCCAGTTTCCTCCACCCCCACCTTATCCACCCCCGGATGAACAGGAGCGTCCTTCAGGTAACAGTGACGAAGAAGCATCGCCGCCGCCGTATCACATCAAAGAGTCTCATTTCCGAAGGCAAGATTCTTTCCGGGAGTCCTCGTCGATTTTAACGACGCCTTTGCCTTCCCATTTGCTTCACTCGTCGACCAAAGGAACTGCGGGCAATTGCACTTTTTATATTGAGAATGATTTTCCTCACGAGTCACGTTTTCAACAAGTAGCAAATGAATTCGACCACTTTCCTGACGGTGGTAGGAGTAACAGTCCGCGTTTCCGTGCAGCAGTGACTGATGTGGATGTGGAATGCAGTCAAAACAACATCTTGAACAAGAGTTTTTCCTCACGTGATGAGACAAATGGACCAGAAGGTGCTGAATATTCCTACGCATATTACGAACCTGGGCCTGCAACAAGCCATGCCAATTTCTTGGTTAACAACGGTGTCGTGAATTCCCAGTCCGACTGGGGCAGCAGACACACTTACATGACTCGGTACGGTACAGAGGAGAACATTTATGAAGAGATAAGCGAAGTCGCCACGAAGCGTTCGCAGTTTGCAGAGCAGGATCGCGTCCACAGTCATCGCCACCGTCAGCAGCATAGGCAGAATCACCGATATCCACTGTCCGTGAACCAGAGTGTCCTGGAGGAGGAGGTCAGACGTGTTCAGTCCCGCCACCGCCGTGTTCTGGGCGAATTAAACCTGGCAGTTGAAGCCATGCTGATGCCGCCAACATCTCGAAGAGATGAAGAAACTATGGACAAATGCAGCGCGTCTTCAAACAAGGGCGCAGGTCCTCCTGACTTACTGGAAGATTTGCTGCTTTCTGTTGGACCCACCGACGAACTTTTATCTCCGGCAAGTTGTGGCACTGGCGGAGATCATGACAGTGGTTTCAGCGGCAGTTCAGGGACCAGTTATGGTTTCAGTGGTTGTAGTGGCGCAAGCTATGGCACCAGTGTCATGAACGGAAGCAGTGTGAGACGGCACTGTGGCCAAAAGGTGTCTGGGTCCTCGCAGAGCATCCCTCGGACAGTGGGCGCTAATCCTTCTGCTAGCGCAGTGTCTGCAGACGTGTGTTGTTCGCCTTTGCTAAACCGCCGTGCCGTCAAGGGTGGTGCGGGTTACCTGAAATTCATCAAGTCGCCAGATTCTGCAGCTCAACAGCAAAATAAACAGAATCAGCTGCAACAGCAGCAGCAGCAGCAGAGCCACAGTGGATTTTTTGGACGCATGGGATGGATTCGTTTGCCGGGGTTTGGCAACAATAACACCAGTAAAGGTAAGTACTAAGTTTGAACTCGGTCTTTACAGGACGCACATCCTGACGACGTTGGACGGACATTGAACTGACGCAGGAGTTTGTTTCTCATTGAAGCAAACATTACAGTCACTTTGCCTTGTGGAGTTGAGGAATGCATTCAAAATGTTAGTTGAAAGATTGAAGGAAAGAGGTCAGTTTGGAGTCCTAGATGCGTGTGACAGGATAATGTTAAAATGGACGTTAAAGAAATGGGCTGTGACGATGCAGACTGGATTCGTCTGGCTCGTGCGAGGTCCAGTGGCTGGCTCTTGAATAAACAACGGTGAATTTATCGATTTCCATAGCGATGTTTAGTTTGAAGATGGCTGTCTTATGGATTGTAGCGCCACGTGGTGCAGAAGAAGTTTACCAATGTTTCAGTGGCCCTTTCTGCCACCATCATCATGGCTGTGAGTCGAATACACGGCGCCACATCCCTGAAGACAGCCATCTTCGGACTCGCAGCCGCGAGAACCCCAGATCCGGCGTATAGTCTGTTCGACGTAGATGGGCACTGCAGTCGTGTTACGTAACCTTTGGCCTGGCCTGGTCTGGGGAGGAGGGCAGGGTTGTTAGACTTAGCGCGGTCAGATTATGTTCTGAGCCATACCTCAGGGCCTCAAAGAATTACGATGCCGTGTTACAGGACGTCATAACTCATTTTTTTTACACATCAATTTACAGCGAGTAATCACGGATGTCATTTCGCCAGGGTCACAATCCGATTCTTCCTAGCAAAACAACGTAATGCAAGCTGATTATTTTATAAGGATCCGCTACAATTCGAAATGTCGAGGCCACACCGAATGACGTTGGCCGTTTTACGCCCCACTCGGCATGACACGGCTTAGTGTTTATATTATTTGTGACAATATTAAAAAGTACTCCGATTTGGAGGTCTCTTAGCCTTGATCATCTTAATTGTCATAAAAATCTGTTTTTCGACGTTGTGGGACGATATGTGTTTAGATGTAAAATTAACTGGTGATTTGGATAGCCTAAGAGAGCTGGAGGGAATCTCCAGGATCACCGTTTATCCCTCATGTGCTGGTACTGCGTCTCTGAAGGGAGAGGGGGAGAAATCTCTTTTCGATAAGTGGGCGCACTAGGACCAATAAGTGTTCGAAGACTTGAGGATACATTATAACACCCGTTTCCAAATTTCATGCTTCAGAGAGTTAGAACAAAATCGTACAACTTTGTAACACGGAGAGCGGAGCCCAAGCTAGTGCAGAGAGCTCAAAACTCAGAACTGTTCACTTGGTTCCGTGCTTTAGGTGGGGGGAAAGGGGATGTGAAGTACTTGCATGAATTTTAGTGACGACTGTTATAGTAAATAATTACTGAACGCAAATTATCCTTCGAATCTTAAATCGTTCATTAATGTGTTCCTGTTTTTTGACGTAAATACGTCTATAAGGAAGGGTCATTCGGCAAAAATGTGTAACGAAAAAGTGTAACAAGTGTACCTAGGGAACGTCGTGTTTACTCGGAATTGTTGTTACCTAGGAAACGTTACATTACATTACATTTCATTAAAATACCACAGACCCATCTTAAGCGTAACTAATTCAAGTTAAATAAGCAATGTCTTAATTAAACTTATCTCAAATGTAAAGCATGTATAAAGGAAATATTTAGAATAAAGTCAATATATAAACTTCCTTTCCGTATAGATGTATTTCCGTCAAATTCTCTGGAACCGTGGTTCCACTGACAACTTTTTAGTTTTCACATACGCGGCACGTTGTTCATTTCCTGATATGTCGACCAATCAATACCAACGGTGCACAGTAAACCGTAGCATCGCCATCTTTTTGCGTGAACTGAGCTAGGGTCGTTAGCCCCTAATATTTGTTTCTGCCCTACATTTGACATCTGATCACAGGTATGTGTATGTACATTTTGTACGAAGCATAATCGACTGTTCTCGAAAGTTCGTTGCAGATTGGCGGGTAGAGTGGCTTGCGATGAACCAATACGAAATTCATCTTAAAACTTTTCAGAATTGGGCCATACTTATTTGCTCGAAATTCCTAAGAAAGGGTGTGTGTTATGGGGGAGAAAACGTGAGGATGAAGTGACAGACATTACCTCCCATTTATGCGTTCACTTCACGAATTTCGTTCAAGGAACACAGACACGGAAAAGTGCACTGGGGGTCGAATGATGCCTTGATCACACACGTTAATTGAAGGATGTGGTACAAAGCACATTGAGTGGAACGAAGTCCATGGTGAAAAGGTGATCTTTAGTCACGCAGCTGGTGAAGAAATTCCAAACCTTTGTAGAATCTTGCCGTTTATTACCATGTTCTCACTAGCCCGTCAGAGAACTGTATTCTGGGTAACTTTAATCTATTCCACATACCAGAACACTACGGGTTTCTTTACCATCAACTTCAGTATTATTCTCCAAGGTGAACTGAACTTGAGTGATTGTCAGTGACAAATCTGGTTCGTTCAGACTAAAGGTACAATTTGGCTGCACGCGACAGAGACAAGCGACCGAGGCAGGCGACA